CATAATGCTAAATTAGTACTCAGCCCATGTTTAATACAAAAATCAATCTGAGCTTCAATACAACAGAATTTAGAGTGGAAACAGACAACCTTTCAACATTTGAAAGCAACCAGATGACATTTTAATTTTGGAGTGTTGGTTGGGACAAAGTTTAGTCTTGTGAAATCAAAAACCTTATCAGAGTGTTCAATAATCAGTAAAAATTCTGTTCTTACTTGGTTGAACAATAAATGTAGTCCAGCCTCAAACCAGGACTTCTGGCTCCTGATGAGACTTTGAATCCTGCGGCTGACAACATCTTACCATCTTCAAAAGAGGCTTCACATTTCTTTTATCAACTGGATCTCACATCTTATGGCAGCATCAAACACAAACGCAACACCAACTAATCTGAGGCACAAAAAAACACACCACTGAATTGTAATGAGGTCAGCATGTTGCTTCATCAGAGAGTACCTGACACTTCTTCTGCTGCACCTCAAGAACATTGAGCAAGACATCCAGCCCTGAAGACATTTAGCAGCATCTCTCTCTGTGTGTCTGTCATCCCCTTTAGTAGTTTTCCCTGAAAATCCCTGGGATATCCTGGTGACTCGAGAAACTAGACAAGGTCATCATTAAACTGACATATTATAGGAACATGAAATTGGTTCTCAATTCACTTTGGTTTATAAAAAGCTAGTCTAATAAAATCTAGAAGGGCATCAATTAATTAAACCACTGCCCTCCATACATATCATGACATACATTTCTCAACATCCCCAGCCACTAAGTGTATTAATTAATGCAAGGTTAATTGTTATAATTTAACTGAGCTGCAGGTTAATCTGCCGTCGAAACCAGCAGAGCCAACAAGAGGCAAGAAAATAAGCTTTTTGCTGCATTGCACCTGCCCAAACGCGCTCAACTTTAGCCGGGGAAGTGGGGCTGTCTGGTCCCGCTGCCGTGTGACTAATCCTCTGAGGTCGTGAGGGTGGAAAGACCGCTCAAAACACACACACCAAAATGAAAAACAAGGAAAAGACACAACGATCATTAACTGGAGACAAGCCGGTAGCGACTGACTGTGCCATATGTCAGAGAAACACGGTTGGTGTGGTTCCCGGTGCGTGGCCGGTTGACCTGCGGAGCGGCGGTGTCTTACCTGGTGGCCGCGGAGAGAGGCGAGCTTCCGGCGGCAGGGGAGCACGGGGGACCGGGAGAGTACCGGGATCAGCGGAGCGTGTGTCGGTGTGTGCGCCTAGGCACCGTCTGAAGGCAGAGCACCACATCCAGGGTGTTCCCAACAAGAGGGGGCGTGGTGTGCGTGTGTGTGTGTGTGTCACAAAAAGGCTTATTTATCTTATTCCTAACTATGCGACAGTTTTTTCCCGCTCTAACTCAGATTGTTGTTTTCTTCCCTAATGACCCAATTAATCCGGGTTGTTACTTTATATACTGCAGTGCTGGGCTATAAAGAGGTTCAGGGAAACTCCTTCCTGTCACCGGGCGAACATTATGTATTATGGATTCCCCTGCTCAAATCCTCTGGGAGTGTGTTGCTCTCCTGCAGAGTGACAGTTTAATACTGTGTGAAATAAATGGGTTGGTCATGCTCAACTTGACAAGCAGAGCCGTGAAAAGAGATGGTGATGTGGGGGAGAAACACAATAAGAATACCTTATTCCAGATCAATACAGGTTGCTATACAACCAGTTTGTCTGTGCTGTTGTCAGTCTGGCCTGATCTTCAACGGTGGCCTCTTTTCTTGCTTTTATAGTGCCACAGTTGTTTAGTTTTTATATAGGATGTTGCTTTCTATGTAGCATGTTGGCAATGCAATATAATGATGTCCTGCATAACACATCACAACGTTGTATAACCCTTGTTTCAAATCACCATACGTCACATTGCAACATTTGAATTAATGATTGATGTTCTATGTAATAATCTTTGTGTCAAGAGATGATGAAGCAGTCATTAATCAACTTTGCTCATGTAAAATAAATAACCAATACCAAAAAAAGTGTTGATTAGTGTGTTCATAATGAAAGAGTTATTTTTAAAACAGAATTACATATTAAAATACAATTTAAAATAAAGATGAATATTTAAATACATGTTATCGTGTTGATGTAGAGGTTGTAGTGCCTGGCTTCACCACAGGGGGGCGACATAATAAACCCAGTAAGATGTGTCTGTGGTCTTTGACTCTGGACAGTAGGAAGTAAACAGGAAACGCAAACCGGCGATAATAAAAATATCGGACAAACAAATACCTCTGTGTCAGTAGAAGTGATGGAGGAATATAACCCTGTAGATGAGGTGAAGTTTTTTTCTGAATTACATTTAATTCACTGTATAAATCTACAAAGCTAAAATAAAAAGACGCCTCGGTTAGCTCTATCGTTAGCTCAGTGTTGCAGGCTGTTTCCATTTGGGTGTGGTCCCTGTCGTTTCATTCATAATAATGTAACTACATTTATAAAATAAGTAGCCTATTAACGTCAGAAACAGCCAGCAACAGTGACATTATAAGCATTGTTATTATTATATTGTTAATATTCCTACTAATTTAAGTAATAATAAGACTGCTACCAAATGTAACTGGTATTTTGTATATAATGTGTACCCATTTCTGTCTTTTATTTGATTAACTATAAGTTTAATTTACACGTGTATTCATTGGTGAGTAACTTAGGTCTTGCATTCTGTAGTTTGACTTGTTATCATATGACAGTGATATACTGTAGGCTTTTTGCATTTTTTTCTAAGTTAGTGAAATAAATCTCCGTATGTTCTAGTCTTTATTATAACGCTCCTTAAAAAATAGATATATACTTACCTACTCTGTAAATACTGTTAGTTATTGTACACCTGCTTATGGGATTTGTGCTAGACTACAACACCTCTTTGCATTTGTGAGGCCAATTTGATCTCTTTCACAGATTGACCATTATATATAACCAGAAAAACAGTCTATAAGATGGATTCTCCATGGAAAAATACAAAATAGAACAAGCATGATGCCACAAACTTACTTTGTTAATTCTTTGTTTTGATTGTCTGTAGGTTGCCTTCAATGCCGATGAGGTCAATATCTCAATTAAAGAGGTAACTTTTTAATGACTGTTAACATCAAATAATTGTATTTACTGCACATTAAAGTGATGAGTGTGCTTGACCTTCTCTGTGTGGTGTTGTCTCAGTGTGTGGAAGGTGTTATTGGTGGAACAGATTACAACCAGAATAAAGTGAACCAGTGGACGGCCAGTATCGTGGAGCACTCTCTGACTCACCTGGTGAAACAGGGGCGGCCGTTCAAATACATAGGTGAGGAAACTGCTCATCATAAACAATAACATGGAGAAAACTCAGGATGCTATGTTGACATGTGGAGCTTCTTCTTGACTCATGAATACTCTCTGTGTTGTGTTACAGTAAACTGTGCGATCATGCAGAAGAGCGGCGCTGGTCTCCACACAGCCAACTCCTGCTACTGGGACACTACCACTGATGGTGAGAAATGACTGATAACTAAATGTGTTTGATTTATAGGAGGGATTATAATTCTCTGTATACATATCTTTTTCAATCAGGAAAAAGCAAACAAGATTATAAATTTGGATACGAAATGCTAGTATTTTTATGTTTTCTATTATTTTCTATTGTATACTGTTTATTTATGTACAGTACGACCAACCCGATCACAGCTTTATAACTTCAGGTTTCCTACATTTCTCCCACTCCAATCCAGAAAGCCCCCCAAAAAGCTGGAACTTATTTAGAATATAATTTAATAGTGGTATTAGTATTAATTTAGTGGTAATGTCTGTTGATCAATTTGACTAGATTAATAGTTCCAGCTCTAATTGCTGTGTTTGAAAACACTTAGAGAATTAATTTAGGAGTAACTGAATAACTGACACCACTAGAAATAAAATACTTGTTTGATGTGGACGTCTGCGTCATCTCTTCTGCTCGTTTGTCTTCCAGGAAGCTGCACAGCCCGGTGGGAGAACCGCACCATGTACTGTGTGGTCAGTGTGTTTGCTGTTGCTGTGACACTGTGAGCTGCTTTCTCTCCGCCATGTGTGAAGCTTGAAATGACACCGTGACCAAGAAGATCCTCTGATGATACCCCCTGTTTGTAGAGTATTTCTCCCCACAGCCTGAAACAACCGCACGCCATGATAAAGAGTCATGGTTTTAGTCCACGGCATTTCTCTGAGAAAATGTGGAATTCTAGGGACCTGGTGAACTCAAACATTCATGTACTTTGATTAGACGGCCAGTCTTCGGAAGTGAAAACTAAATATTTTCTCTCTTTATGTCCGAATTGTTGTTATATGTGCATAATGTAAAACTGTAATAGTTTATAGCCATGCCACCATGAAGGCTCTGGGGATGGCAGTGTCAGTTTTTGGAGTAAATGTAATGAAATGTGCTAAACACACATTCAAATCCTCCTCAGGATACACTGCAATACTGTAATACTTAAGAAGAGCCGCACAGGGCTGCTAACATGGCGGTAGACTCTTCATCTCGTCTTCATTCCTCTTCTTCAGTACATTCCCAAATAAAACCGATGCCGTCCAGAAGTTTGGTATTGAAGAAAATGCTAAATAGCTACCTGACGTCTTGTATACAGTGGCTCTACTAGTCTGCATTCATGTTTTAATGATTTCAATTGATTTATATTTATTGCAGATATGTGTGTGCATTTTTCAGTATGATGGAGTTTAATGGTCAAAGCGACTAATGCACTTTTCCTGGAATTCATCCATAGAAATCCTGAAATTCTTCTGTAAAATTGAGTTAATGAAGGCTGTGTAATAAATTAATTTATTGTAACATCTCCAGTGCATTCGTTAATTGTTGCAGTTGCATCCGAGTGAGAGTTGATCCCTACGGAGAACTAAAGGTACTCAAGGTGCAGTTTGGTTTTCTGTCCACTAGAGGTCAGAACAGGACTATATTTGGTAACTGCATCGGCTGAAAATAAGACAAATATGAGAATGTTCACATATAGATATAAATGTATTATTGTTTTAATGACTTTTATCTTGTTCTTTTGAGGATGCTCCTTGTGTACAATAGATTTCTCATCTTTTTTGGCACATCTAATTTGTACAAACATAAGGAGCACTCGTTTGATACCCGGGGTTTTCATCCCTCTGCAGATACATTGCAAAAAGGACTAGGTGCAAAAACAAACAACACTGACATTGTCTCCCTTGTACACACACTATTTCACAATAAAGGTTGAAAATAAGCAAAGATACAGGTTACAACTAAAACAAATTCCATTAGATATAAACTATTTCAGTGTGCATTTTGTGTAAATATTCTAACTAGTGAGACGCACAGATACAGAGCTGACGGACATAACAAGCATGAATTAGAAAAGCACATATATCCAAACAAAGCATTTCACATCACTGCAGCCATTTCTGTTCAACAGTTGAACCAAAGCCACTTAAATCGTTTTTGTAAACGTGCAAAACTCATTATTTGGAGACGTCGGTGTCTTACAGTTAACGTGTGAACGAGCACTTTAAAACAGTATGTTGATATTCACATCTCTTCGCCAAGCACAGACACATCACAGAAGCAGCGCGTGTTGATGATAAAGCTCTCATCAAGAAGTAAAAAAGCTGATTGCTTGCAGCCATAAAACTAGAGGGAGGGGTTCAGAAAACACCCTGTACAAAACAGGCCCCCCCCCCCCGCAGAGGTTCATCTGATGCTTCAAACGTGCACACCTGCATGCCAAATAGAGATCCTAAATACAATCAAGTCATATGCATGGTGCCTTGGGATCAGTAATGCAGCATATACGTGGACACAGTCTCCAAAGCGTGAGAAGTAACTGTGTTGCCCGTGTTTTTATTAGAGTAAAGGCTGCAGGGTGAAGGGTTTGGATGTTAGATGAGCACCACCCCGGCTTCTTCGTTGCATGTCCAGGTATAGAACACATTAGCTTCTTGTTGATTAACAGTGGTAGAAAACAGAGTTGAGATGGACATAATGAAAAGGGGTCAACTCAACTCGCCAAAGAGATTCACATGGCACTTAAAAAGGTCACAGAGGGTATGATAACTGTCAGTGGCTCCTCCAGTGGATGCTTTAAGCATTGCAGGATACACTGTGGTTAATGTCCCCGTTGATTCCAACACAGATGCTATTGCTCACTTTATTGGGAGAGTCGCAGACTGTATCATTGAGCATGTCATACGTTGTTTCGTTAGGCATGTCGTCGGTGGTGTCGCTGGATGTGTCCTGGGCTCCGTCATTGGCTGGCTCTTTACGTGTGGGGGGACATGGTGACTTTCCTGTGGGCCTGTTCTGTGGTGAAGCAGAGTTGCATGAGAGACAGAGGAGAGAGGAGCAGGTCCAGAGGCCCTGGGTCATGCTGGAGGAGAAGAGCCTCCGACACGGGTGACAGAACTGGTAGAAGACCAGCATGAAGAAGATGGCGATGCCGTAGGCGAGCAGCAGCAGCAGCACCAGCAGCGGGGCACAGATGAAGTTGTACACCTCAGTTTTATACATGAACCACAGCAGGAGCAACGAGGCGTTCTCCAAAAAACGCAGCACGTAGTACACGGCCATGCGGTACCAGTTCTGGGACTTATTGATGAGGTCCGGGTCGCAGAGCTTCACCTGCACAGCGGACCAGCAGAACATGTTGATGCCGGCATAGAGGAAGGTGAGCAGGCAGAGCACGATGGTGGTTCCCACCCTGGACAGAGTTTTCTCTATATTCTCAGGGAACGGAGAGTGGCTCAGCCAGAACAGGATCCAGGGGTAGAAGAAGAACACTATGAAGTTGAGCAGAACCACAGGGAGGATCCAGAGCTGCAGCACAGAGCTGAACAGAACCAGCACCACCACCCGACTGGCGATCTCAAAGCTCCTCCACAGGAAAATGCACATATAAGCCACGGGCCGGACGTCCACTTCATAGTCATCGTATTTGATCTTAATGGCCAGGATGTTGCAGCGCAGCGCTCCATACACGATGGACAGGAGCGAGATCACCATCAGCGTGCCTGGTAGTGAAGAGACAGAAATATCAAGACAAAATATGAGTTTCACTTATTTGCTATGCATTGTTTTTGTCTTTGTAAGGCAGCTTCTTGAAATACCATTACATGCATCGTATCAGAGGAGTACTAATATTTTTGGTAAAAGATATGAAGAAATAATACCTGAAAATTACACAGATGCCTATAAATACATTTACAAATCTTCAGTGAGAAGTATTCAAAATATTATAATACAGTTTACAAACACACAAATTCAGCAGAAAACCTTTATACCATATTTTGACATGTTCGTTATTTTTATCACACCTTGTTATTGTAAAAAAAGGCAATGATTCTGTTTCAAGAAGTCTTTCAAATAAATGTTTATGGTCAAAAGACCTTAATTGTTTTCTCAGCTTGTCTCTACGTGATATATAAACAAAGTGTATTTAAATAACCATGCCCAGTGTATTCACTGAAGAATAAACAATCTCCTGATGGTAGAAACATTCACACTAGTTTTGCTTGTAGTCTGTTTTTCACATTAAAAGTCTTATTTCAGACACGTTTCCATTGTGACATATGGGGGAGAATATCAAAAATATACATATTCCAAAGATTAAGTAAAGCAAATATGAGACTCTAGTTGATTCAGTCTCTTTAGTATAACATTAACTCTTAATGTTTCCATGTGCAGAGAATAGGGATCGAAACAAAAGAGAGAATTTGGGACTAAAAGACTGAAACTGTGGATGAATGATTCTACTCATAAAAATAGCTTCAAATTAGCTTTGGATAAACTAAAACAGGACTGTGGAGCACCATCACTGAAAAAACACCTTTAAGGTAGCTTTTAATTGCTCGTATGATTAGGAGGAATGATTGTAGCAACGTGTGGAATGTACATATGGGCTTTGGTGACGCTCTCCTTGAAAAAAGACCTTCAAGCTCCCATTCATCAAATGGAGGCCGTTAAACCGGTCAGCGTGAAATAGAAGTGTCAGACCGCCGGAGCAGAGGAAGAACGATTTATGTAATTATAACATATTTTATCTTGTCCTTGTTCAACGACCAGATGTCCTGGTGTGACTTTGTGTGAACTCTTACTAAATCTCTCAGAAGGGAAATAAAAGCTGGCTGCTACAGAGAGTTGGACAGCCAGTTCTGCAGCGCCTGGTCGAGGGAAACACCATATTTGCCATCCTCGGTATCAGAGAGGCGGTTACATAACACCACTTTGACTCATGAAAACACCATCCTCTTATGTCAAACATGGCACTTAGCTGATCAGCCCACACGGTGAAGTGGATTGATGTAACGCGTGGCCAGACAATTAAAATGTGACACATTAAAGTACACGCTTCCTCACCTCTCCCGATGGACACCCCCTGCTGCAGGGCGCAGATGTAGAGCTGCAGGGTGAGCTGGGGGGCCGACCCCAGGAAGGCCTGAATGACAGAGGAGCGGGCGAAGGCTGCCCGGTGTGTGAACAGCTTCCCCTCCGCCTGCCCCACATGCCGCTCCACCTCCTCAGACTGACCCCCGCGAGGTATCTGCTTCTTCCTGGTGATGCTGACATACGGCTCCTCCACACGGCCCACACTGCCATAAATACAGAACGCCTCCAGACACCTGCGGGAGCAACAAGAGAGGGAGAGCATTCAGAGTGGCAGAATGAACGAGGACACACAGCACAGCTCAGGATTAATAGTCCTGCAGGTATTTATCATAAAGCAGTGTGGGATGGAAAGGCACAAAGTCCATCATATAACTACAATGAGGGAAACATGATCTCATTCAAATAGTTATCCAAATATGATAATATTACAGTTTACAAACACAGAAATTCAGTAGAAAAATTTAAGAAACACAACTTTTGTTCAATATTTTTACATGTAGTCGATTTTATTTTTTAAATCGGGACTTGTTCTTGAACCTCTCTTATTTAGAGTCGATGTATGCCTGTAAATCACAAAAAAGTCAATAATTCTGTCTCAAAAAGTCTTTCAAATCCGTTTTTATGGTCAAAAGACATTCATTGTTTTCTTGTCTCTACTTGGTATACAAACAAAGTTTCTTTAAATAATCCTGCTCAGTGAATTCACTGAAGATTAGACAAACTCCTGAGGGTTGAAACAACATGCAGGTGCTCCTAGAAACATTCACACTAGCGGTCATCTCTCCTCCTTTTCACGTTGGCCATTCAAAATCTTATTTCTAACACATTGTGAACTATGGGGGAGAAATGTAATTTCTGACATTTAGGTACAGTTGGTTTAATGTAATTTATAATAGATGGTGATCAAACAGAGTGTTCCTCATATACAGTCAATTGCTTACGGCTCTATGACAGCAAATCAACTATTTTACTTAAACTCTGGATAACATCTGAAATACTCTCAGTACAGCTTCAGCCAGATTACTTGTAGAGTACCCTGCAGCAGTAGATAATTGAGTTTGCACTGAAGGATAATAGTATTTATTTAAGATCATTTGGTTTCCCTTAATGGCTTCCCTGGAAGACGTCCATCAAACAGCTCTCTAAAGGGAGGAGGGTGGTTTAGTGGGCAGAGATGCGCTTGTATTTATTTATTCATCTATTCATTTCCAATCTTTCTGTGTTTCTTTTCCTTGGTTACATAACCTTAACCATGTCAATTTTTTGTTCATTTTAGTTATTTTGTTCATATTTTGCATTCTGTTGCACTGAAGCTATTCATTATTGACTAATGTTTAGTTTTTTTGTGTATGTGTTTTGATCCGTAAAATGTTAGAAAATGGTAAAACAATGGCCGTCACAGTTTCCAAGAGCACAAGTCGATTCCGCATTCTGGAAGAACAACAGTCCATTAGCAAAATATAAATCCACAAAAACTCACATTTGGGGAGCTGGAAAATGAAATGTCTTGTCACGGTAAAATGTTAAAAATATTAATGGATTTGATGAATTACTCCCTTTAATGGACTCAGCTCTTGGTGCTTTAGTTATGAAGTTCAATAGAGCTCCATAGGATGCATTATTGATGGGTTCAGAACTAGCCTAGTAAGACTGGAGGGGATCGTTAACAGGTATTATCAATCGTTATTATCTATTGGTACATGTACGCCAGCAATTAGCTCTCTGTCAGGGTAAGTCAGGTCGAGGTGAGTTCAAGGCAATAAATCAGTGAGGGAGGAGGATTTACACCCAGGGGTGCTGCGGGACAGACTGAAGCAGACATCAGCTGGAGTGACACGCATCAGTGACTTGATTCAATAATTTAAATAAATAAAAGTGGAAAGGTTTTGAGTGAGTCAGCAGCTTTTCAGATGTTAAAGAAAATACCAAAATCCCATTCAAGGATGAAGAGATAGAAATCAGTCACACGCTGCGTTTCTGCTGACCTCAGCATGCTGTAGAGAAGATGTGTCTCTTAAGATGGAGTGGATGCAAACAACAGACAGATATCGTATCTCACCGTAGCTATAAGCTATTTATTCCAATTTAACCCTCAGTTTCTACTTGTAAATCATGACCCAACTGTAGGGTTTCCTTCAGGTCAAAAAAAGGTTTAAAGCATCTCAAATCTGTTTGTTTTTTTGGCCCTCACAGTTTGGTACACCCTCACAGCTCATATTTGAGTTTTCAGCAGCAGAAGACACTTGTTTTCAGAAAGAAAGCTCTGAAAACATTACATTATCTGCTCTGCCAAAAACAGCAAAGAGACACAATTAGAGACTAGCTTCTGAACGTAGTGGGGCAATAGACAGCAAAAGAGAGAGAAACCCGAAACAGAGAATACATGATTATTGGGCTAACATTCCCCAGGTGGCTACAAACACCACTTCCAAGGAACAATAATGTTGCTCCATAACAGCTTGATGTATAAATAAGCAACCACTGCTAACATTTTCACCACATCATCTTAAATGTCGCAATGTCAGCGATGACTTAACATCTTGTTACTAGTGACAAAAGACTTCTCATATTGCTTGTTGAAATATCTTTTAGGACTTAAAAAAAGACTATGCATTGAATAACTATAAGGGAACTCAGCACAGACCTACGCCCAAGACCATTTCCACAAGGGAAATAATGCCTCTATCCGCCCCATGCTTTGGACCCACACCAACCAGGCTCTTCCCTGAACCATGCTACACCCTTCCACCAAGAGGACATAATGTGTGTCTCATATGTTTTCCACAAAGTACAAATGTGTTATACCTTCATTAAAAACGTGATTAATTAAATATTACAACTGTAATTGCTGGACTCACAATGTTGCCTACCTCCCAGAAATGTTTATTCTTATTATTGGTGCACACATATCTCTTGTGTTGGTGTCATTTTTAAACTAATTGGCTATTAAGTTAGGTTTGATGTCAAAAGTCACGTCATGCTCGTACATGTTGTCTTGACCTCAGATTTTATATGATCCTAGTTTAAAACTTTGCACATACATAACCCTGCATTGTTACTTAAGACTATAGTAATTATAAGCTAAATGCATGTGTGAGTGCAGGGAGACTTTAAAAGGCTAAAATACATTTACTTTGCATTTCTTTTGTACATGGCAAGAAATGCACTTTCAGTATTCTCCATTTCTGTTTAGAGCTGTAAAAGAAGAAGTGATCACACTTGCAAAACATACACTTATAAGGAACTACAATAAGATATCTAATTATTTAAGGAACTTACTTAAGCACTGCTGGTATGACCCTTAATGATAGGGAATGTGTATATGTTAGAAGAAGTGTTGTTTTGGACGCAATAGAAGAGGAAGTGCAGCTGTCGGACAACATTTCCCTCCCTGGTTGTGTTGTTGGAGATAAGGAGCCGGCAGCGACATGTGCTATTCTTAGTTCTGCTTTTCACTAAAGAAAGATGTACAAGTCTGAACATTTATCTTCTGAAAAACACTTGAGGGGAAGCAGGCAGACGGGGTCAGACTGCAGGGAGTCTACATGCTGCGAGTGACGTGCGTTCAACTGGTCCTCCAGGGGAATACAACTAACATAAAAAACTAAAATATGAATATCTAGATATAACCGTCTATCAGTTGCTAAGTTTGTACTCAGCGGATCTTAATGAGAGGTGTTAAACCAGAAGTGCAACTAACAATCCAAATATTGAATTTATGATCATAAGAACAGAGAAAAGCTGCACACTTTACATTTGAGCTTGACTAACTGAGTTAAATGATCATTAATAAACTGAATGTACTATTCCCATGGTATTTAAAATGTCTGAAAATAGTAAAAACTGATTGCTAAAAGCCCAAATGTTTACAGTCAAACAGCTTGTTTTGTCCAGTAATACAGGAAATATACACATTTAAGATGTTTTTTTTTTAACAAACAAAAAAATCCAGCTTTTGATTAGTGACAGCAGTCTTTGCACCATGTATTAAAATGTTAACTTAAAAAATGGGATTTCCTCTTGAGAACTATTATTTGAACCTACTAATAACTGGACTCTCTTCTGTGTTTTGCCCAGGCATTGGTTATGTATTTTGTCTTTGTATCAAGTCCTATCAGGAATTATACACATATAGATCAAACTAGTTTGGTGACTTGCTCTTTGTCATGTTGTCCATTGACGCCTTCTTTCACTAAAATAAAGTGTATGGGAGCTAAAAAGTTTCCCATTTTGTATTCATCTACTTTTTATCTTTACTCTGCATCCAATGTTTTGTTTGTGATCTTCACGTTAACTGCTGCCATATGCCAACCTTTTTTTGTACTCAATCACACCTACATTTTCAATAAATCTACTGAAAAATGGCTTTGCATCAGGGCTGCGTCTAATAATTATTTTGTCACTTGACTCCCAAATAAAATCCTCTATATTCCCATATAAATAGTTGTTATTTTCTGTTTAAATAACCCAAATCTCAAAATATATTTAGTTTAGCATAAATTAAACATCCAAACGAAGCAAATTCTTACACATGAACAGCTGACGGTCTCTTGAAAATGCATAAGCCAAGTGATCGGCAAATCGACAGATCATTACAGCTTAGTTTACTTTACAGAAGATGAGATGGGTTTTCATCCACAGTTATTTCTACATCAGGCAGGATTAGGCTTCTATAGCTGAGGCAGATGGTCCATCCAAGTCAGGCCATGGCTTACACCATGTATATATGTAAAAACCAGGCCTATTGTAGTTTACAGCAGATGTTTTAAAGGGTCCTCAACCAGTGTGTCAGCCTATTCTTCCTCGTGTGTGATTCAATGTCCCTTCAGACAGAGCAGCCATGCATAAATCAGACCCAGCTGAGGATGATTGAAACTGTGTAGGGGGAGGAGGAGATCTTATTGAAAGGAGCCTACAAAACAGTGGTGGCTGCCAGCTGTGTGGCTATGCATGTACATCGACAGGAATATTGATCAGCGTTGTATTTCCCAACTCTATCGCACACACATCCACTGCATCAGCATGCAGGCAGACAAAAGGCCGAATAAATGAAAACAACAGCATGTGCGAAAGCATTAATCAAACCGTCTGTAAGCAGCTTACGTGCAAACAGTCCGGGCTTCTTTTTAACCACACACATTACGCATGGACACCTAGATGTTTGGTCACGTGACACGGTGATTAGGGCCACCATGGCATCTTCATGAAAGAGAAATAAACAAGGCAGCCCTGACCTGACGATGGGTCCGAGCTGCAGGATGTGCAGCAGCAGCACGAGCGGTCTGTCCCGGCCCAGGTCCCGGTGGATGAAGGTGAGGGTTAGCTGCACGAGCACGGATGGCACGAGCGTGAAGAGGAGCGTGAGCCCCTGCCAGATCTGGTCCCCGGCGGAGCGGTACGTGGAGCTGAGGTACAGCGCTGCCGTGGTCTCAGCTGTGAACAGTGACACCGACACAAAGATGGAGCTGGGGAGGCGCATCCTCACTCACTCCGCCATCTGGGGGACGCGGCTTGGCTCGGGGTCCGCGCAGCCATACCGGGCTCCCTGCTGGGCGGTCAGTGGATCTCCGGCCGGAGGTGTTGATCCAGTCAGGCTCCCGCCGCTGAACTGCAGTGTTGAGGCATACAGGATGTTTTCACACGCAGCTGTTGTCCCGCAGAGAGTCTGCAGGGGGCGCCCGTAAGTAAGAAGAGACGCCCTGCAGACAGTATGTTTTTAATGTGGCTCAGACACTCGAGCGTTGTTTTACTCATCAGACAATATTTATTTTTACTGTTACAGAGAGCCTATTTCCAATATTTGCATTGTGCTTTCCTTGCTATACTTGGTTACTTCATTGATGATGTGTTCAGGAGCATCGAAAAGCTGTATCTTATCAGTCAGACTGTGTTTTAATAAAACGTGTTCCTTCATATTCTGCATTTTTTCAATTAATTGAAATATAATAGTGCAATGTAATATTGTTAAATAATGTTTGTCATTCTTGTGTTATATGTAAAATGTTTCAATGAAGGAAACTTTTCTCCTTTAATTTTAAAGCTGTTGTTCCTTCTTTCCCCCAAATAACCTTTTCCCAAATATTTCTAAAACTGGGAAAACCGTTCTATAAACATGCTCAAAATAACTTAATAAGTTGTTCCAGTAACAGATATATTTGCGAAGGTGTTGACAAGCTGTTGAATTAATTATATTACAAATCACCTGTGAAAAATCAATAAAAAGTCCTACATAAGAAGTATTACACAGTAGCCTACTCTAGTATTTATTCACATAAACCACACAACTAAAATACACAAAAGTAATCCTCACACCAATGTATTGTTTTACTCGTGTAAAAGGTTTAACTTGTAGCAACACATTAGCTACAGAGAGCTAGAGTATTTGCTAGCTTAATTAGCAGTTAATCTACAGTAGAAAACGTTTGGTTAATTGGGTGCAATCCTGTTGGGTCATTACAAGAACAAATATTTTTCCATAAATCAAAACTTTTTCTTTTTCTCTCAGATTTCAGCTCAGCGTCTTGACCAGCAGATGGCGACAGAAGCCTGCAGGCTACTGTCGGCCTGCAGGCTTCTGTCCATGGTGCTGAAAGAAACGTATTTAGTAAACAAATCAATTGATTTAATCTAAATGGGAGTTTTTTAAATGTAGCCCAATTACTTAATAGCATTTCAGGGCTCATTTTTGGTATAGTAGTTTACAGTGTTTCCATTTTCTGCTACTTTAGTAATCTGCTTCTGTACGTTTAGAAAATATGTCATCTTAACCCACTATATGTATCTGACAGATGTAGTTACTTTGCATATTAAGATGATACATTAACATTTGAATATTTTTCAAAATACCACACATGAAATCGGACAATCTACTAATGTCATAAATGATAATACGTCAAACTCCAGGGACGAGTACGAGTCCTTTTACTTTGATACTTTAAGTTCATTTCTTTATTATTTGTACTTGTTGTAACCTGTAACCATGCACTGTGCTAGATGTTTTTCTATGTTGGCAAGAATAACCTATATTCCAGCCTCTTCGCAGATTTGAAGTTTTACCAACCAAAACACACAATAATTTCCTAGAGTAAAACATGATTCATCGCTGTGTTTTGAACCCCTAGCACATGAAATATACAGATGTATGTGTTGTATGTGTTCCTTACTCAGGTCACACTGTGGGTCAATTCCAAAATGTAATTATCTTAGTCAAGGTAGTGTGAAAGAGGCTTAGAATAACCTTTTAACTTGAAATGAGATTTATTTTCCCCAATCACAAAGACATATGCAGATGGAAATACGATGAATGCCAGTGACATGAATATGGAAGCAGATGTCAGCTTGTGACTATAACTAATTGAATTTCTGACAATTTAAAAGGGAAATGATTGCAAATTGAACAAAGACTTTTCGATGGGTTTATTTTGAAATGGAAAAACATGAAGTCTGAGGATAATGGAAAGAGAGAGAGAGATGTTGAGGAGGTCGATTCGACATCAAGGGAGAACAACAGTGGTTGCAGTTGCGCTCAGAGCTCTGAAAAAATCAGTTAGTTCAACGTCATCTATCCACATAAGACTTGAAATAGCAGGCAGTAGAATAAGTATCAGCTTCTAGATTCTGTTCCTGTTTGTGAGTTCAGAAAAAAAAGCATGGTTCTAGTCCAAGCAGCCATTTTACTTTAATGTTTTTCGGTCACATCATACGTATTTGGGGTGGAAATACTTTTGAGAATGACCAACTCTTCAGCCATTTTGTTCATACTTGGCTACAGAAGAGTGTGGCAAATTAAAATGATTTAAGTCATGCTGAGAGATGCATATTTTCATCTCTGTTATCTCCTGCTTTGATACAGGAAGCTTAATTTGCATTTATATGAGAAAATGATTTTGAGCCCAATTGGCACAACATGATGCATGAGCAAATAAAGTCTGCAGTGTGTATCAGGGACCTTCAACAATGTGTTCAGAAATTTGAAAATAAAAAAACACAATGTTTTTCAAAGATTTGACATTTACTTCCACACCTCACTTTATTTTCAAGTGAGCATTGAAGGTCAGCAGCAACATTCTTCACAGCAAGGTTGTGCAGCTCTTTATAAATTGACTGTGATTTTTATGAAGATTGATTATTTACAATTTACCAACATAAGATACTCTCAGACAATAAGGTAATGATGACAGGCAGACCATAGTTCCCTTTGAAGGTATTGATACTTTATTTTAATCAAATAATTAGAAAATACATTTGTGTTTTAACTTAGGCTATACTATGTTTAATCAAGTAGTTAAAGAGATTTTTATACCAATACTTTGTTTGATGATTTCCATTTTCTACTACTTTATAATTCTACTATGCCATATTATGCTAAATTATGTAAAGTTACATTTCATTAAGCCCTAAGTGAAATTTACCCAGCAATATAAAGAAAATAGTACAAACCATTACCAGCTGCATGGACACATTAAAAGCATCACCAATTGTAATGAATCAACATAATATACACTTTTCTGAAATGGACCATTGAACATGATGTGTAATTTTACTTTTTGTTCTACAGTCTGCACTGTGGTATTTTGCTTAAAAGCTCTGAATACTTCTTCCACCACTGCTTACTGTAGGGCAGAGAAGCCTGAGGTACTGCAGATTTACTTTATGCAGTTTATTTTTACATTTCAAGAACTAGAAAAGTATTCTTTATGATGAGGTTTTAGTTTGAGAGGGGTCAAGGAAGTTGTAGAAAACGATCTTTTTTTTCTTCACCAGCAAGGAGGTACAGAAGAGCAGGCTGAAGTTGCCCAAGCAACAGGTAATTTGCCTTCCTTTGGTGGAGATGCCCATTCAAATATAAACCAACTTCATACAATGTCCACTTACGTTGAAAGCACTGGCTGCTATACCCTCAAGAAAAGGCAACTCCAAATCTATCCAATCATAGGCGACCACTTTGCGCATTCTTGGACTTCTCCGCGACATTTGTGCATCAATTAAGTCTCAATTATGTTTAACAAGAGTTTGCCTCTCAAGAAAGAATAAGTCGTACATTACAAGACATGTTTCCATCATTTTGACGGCATGAAGCTCGTGAATGACGCACGCAGACGCAGTAGCAGGGGATCATAGCCCATAGTATATAAAGTCAGTCACAAAGGCAACCGTAGACACCACCAGACTTCCCCATTAAACACCTCTACCTGTACCGGCTGCTATGTCTCTGGAGGGTTCAGTCTTCACAGCCCCTGAGGACAGCGGGGATCCGGTCCTGAATGTCTCCACATGGGAGCAGCACCAGTACCATATCTGGCTCCCTGGCATCGGGATCGCTGCTGTCTACGGGATCATCATTTTCGTGGGTCTGGTGGGGAATGTCACGTTAATGAGGACGTGTCTGATGGTGAAGTCCATGCGCACGGTGCCCAACTTGTTCTTATCCAGCCTGGCTCTGGGGGACGTGCTGCTGCTGCTGACCTGCGCCCCGGTGGACGCCAGCCGGTACCTGGTGGACGAGTGGCTGTTTGGCCGCGTTGGATGCAAACTGATCCCGTTCATCCAGCTCAGCTCGGTGGGAGTCTCCGTGTTCACCCTCACTGCTCTCTCCGCTGACCGGTAACTCAGGCATGCTTTTCTAAAAGTGTTATTAGCTTATCTTCTTCTTGAGTCCTTAAAGCGTGAGTCTTCTTTAGATTTAATATAACAACCAGAATGGCATTTACTGATGCAACATGACATGAGGACTATACATATGATATGGGTAACACATTATGTTTATGCTCACACATTTACCCCCTTATGAACGTCTTTATAATGTTCTGGATTGTTTATGTTTATTTATCAAATTGGCTGTTCTGTTATCTGACAAGGCAAGGCAAAGCATCTGCACATTTTATTTGGAATGACTGTGTATATAAATGACTATAAATCCACCGACAGACCCAATCTCCGTTATCAGATATTTGTCTGTTTCCCCCATGAAATACTTATCATAATATCAGTGGAATGCAGTCTTGTTTTATCTTAACCTTTAATTATAGATTGTGCTTTATTTATTTATTGATTATAGAAATACTTTATCAAATATTAATCTGAATATCAGAAGTACATCCAAATTACATTATATGAGTAAAGTAGTGACCTTACATCAATAATGTCCTCTGCGTAGGGAAAGTGTATTCTTGTGTGTTTTTGACTTGCTGTTAAGTTGAGGGACACCCATACTGGTTCTCAAGATGATTAACAGATTAAAAAAGTAGAAGGTACATCAAAATGTGTTTATTTTGTCACAATGTTATCTAATCTCTGGTTATTTATTTCAGAATAACACAATGATAATATCTCTGAAAATGATTCAGATACTGCAAGGGAAAAAATAGTCTCTTTAGTAACACTGCAGGCAGTGACGATTAGTTAATTATTCCTTCTTCATGAGTCACATAGAACAACGGTATTTTAATTGAAGGGCAGAGCTACGGTATCAACCTAAAGAGAATACATTTTTTTTTAAATACAGAAGGGCAGAAAGAGATCTTCTTTTATTCTCAGCAGCACTTAGATTCTCGAAGCAAAAACAAACATTAAATATCAATGACTCATAAACCTTCATCCTTGATCTTTAACTCAAACTATCAAGGGGTTAAAAGGATCGACTGTGGTTCCTGATGAAAGACTAATTACATTTTCTCTCTCATTTTGTCAGATGAGCTATCAAAGTGAATTTGTATCTGCAGTTGAATATTAACTAACACTGATGCATCTATAGAATTGTTTATTAGTGTGTGTTGTAAATAAATAAAAGTAAATCTTTCTTGGAATAAAATAAGTATGTGATCCCTTTTCGGTAATAGGAGGTGCTCTAAACAATTACATATGTTTAACAGTTATTTTGACTTCTTTATGCAAACAGTCTTTCCACACAATGCCAAAATGTTGCCTCAATACTCCTCATATTCTTTTCCTCTCTGTTCAGGTACAGAGCTATAGTCAGACCTCTGGACATCCACAGGTCCAGCGCTACTCGCAGTATCTGTCTCCGAGCGGGGAGCATCTGGCTGCTCTCGATGAGCCTGGCCATCCCTGAGGCTGTGTTTTCCGACCTGCACACCTTCACCACCAGTCACACCAACGAGACATTTGTGACCTGTGCACCTTACCCCAGCGCGGGGGAGCTGCACCCCAAAATCCACTCCACTGCCTTCTTCCTCATCTTCTACATCATCCCACTCTTCACCATATCTGTTTACTACTGCTTCATTGCTCACAGTCTGGTCAGGAGCTCCGTGGATATCCCTGCTGAAGGAAACCTGCACCTCCAGAAACAGGTCTGAGAAGGTTCCTTATCCTTTTTCTTATTTATAAAGAGCCCATTAGAAACCACTCTCTAAACCATATTTGGTAAACCTACTGAGAGAAACTGATTTATATGATATCCTTATACAGACACGCAAAACTCAATGCAAAATGGCAATGCTATCATGATGTTAAGCAGCTATGACGTTTACTGCACCATCATATTTTAGTGAACAAATACAAAGGAATAGGTGACACTACAATCATTAAGATTCATCCTCTGAGGACCATGACAAGACAATCAAGCCAATAGCTTTTGAGATATTTGAGTGTAGATCAAAGACACAAGCTAATTTCTTCTCTCTCTACTCTCCCGGCAGATCAAGTCCAGAAAGCGTCTGGCCAAAACGGTGCTGGTGTTTGTCGGCTTGTTTGCCGTCTGTTGGCTGCCAAGTCACGTGATCTACCTGTACCGCTCCTACCACTACGACCAGGTGGACACCTCGCTGGGCCACTTCATCGCCAGCGTGTGCGCTCGCATTTTGGCTTTCACCAACTCCTGTGTGAACCCATTTGCCCTCTACCTGATGAGCAAAAGCTTCAGAAAACACTTCAACAAGCAGCTCCTGTGCTGCACTTCCCCCAGCCGCTTCAAAAGTCAAAACAGTGGAAGCACCAACATCACCACCGTCTGAAGGCAACTGTGTCCTCTTTAACATGATTACACATGTGCTTCACAGCAATGGAGGCATGTTCAGCATCTTTGCTCACACATGTTTACTTCTGCTTTAGAAGTGACAACCTCAGTGTGACTTGCTAGCGGTTTAGAAAGATTGGGTCGCGTTTGGTGGGATGAATGATAGGGGGTCGAGGAGAGGGATAGATGACGATTGTTTGGGGATGACCTCGGTCGAACAGAGTCAGGGTGTGTTAGAGTGTCTGGGATCATAGGAGTTGAGTCTCAGGGTGTGGGCACGTCTTGAAAGGTGTCATGCTTTATTATGCAAGCACTGCAGATGCGCAGATGTGAAGTCGCTTGACGATGTTACAAAAATGTAGAGAAAACATATGTTATCATTGCATGAGATTAATATTTGATAAAACATTTAAAAGTTCTCTCTATTGGCCTATTCTAAAATGTATATGATTGTGTAAAATAAATGTAGTTGTCGGTGCCTAATAGCTAAGTGTATAGGGCCTAACCACATGAGCAAGTCCCCACTTCAATTCCCATATGGTCGGACTGTTTACTGCACGTGCTTTTCCTATAGTCTTTCATCATATTTAAAAAAAAAAAAAACAGATTACATCAAGTGCCATTTGCAGTGGAAACCATGCATGAGAGGCCCGACCTTAGATTTGTGGTGCATGTTTCTATCTGCAAAAAGCAATATTTAAAAAAATGACTGCTAAATATATATAAAGCAGAAGGACCATCTGACATTTGATGTTTGTCAAATATTCTGAACATCTGCTGTTGTGCAGAGTAGAGAAGTTTTATAGGACATTTGTGAAATATTGAGTTATTAGAATTGTCAAATTTCAAAATACATAGACTTGTTCCTGTTAAATTGTGTGCTATTTAATGTTGGTTGGCCGTACCTCTGAATGTATACATATCTTTGTACTTTCTAAATTGTGTTTAATGTGGCTTTGTAATGTAGAGAGAGTTGCAACTAAGAATTATTCTCATTGTTGATTGACGTTGATTGTAAAGTCTACAAAATATCACAATTTTGGATTAATCTAATCGTTTAAGCTTTAGTATTATATTGTAGATAGTGGTTTTATATTGAAGCCACAATGTATGTACTATAACTGCTGTGTGAAGTGTTGTTTTGAATTGTCTTCACATGAACATCTTGATGTTTATATTTAATACAACTTTATCGAGATGTATGAGCTCCTGTGGCCGTAACTTTTCGAAAAGGGTTTTGTGATTGTAACATTTAGGCAGTAAAATCTCAATGAACAAAAACATAAAACCTTTTGTAACCTATCAGGTTTCTGAGATTCTGTGGCTCTGCTGCACATCAAAGTAAAAGTCTCTGCTGCATATCTGTTGCAAATTAAAGGGCTCTGCTGGATATATCTTTGCAAGTTGGAAGACTCTGCATATCTGACCTTTACCCACTCCAACACACATGAATAGAGCTCAGAGCAGAGGTGTAAATTAAATTAGATTTAATTTGAACACAGGACACAGACTCCGTCAATGCATAAGATAAGAAAAGGTTTATTTACTGCGTTCTATTGAATGAAGTTGGATGAGGGGAAAGGTCTGGCTGGTGGAGGCGAAAAGAAGATGGGAGCTGGTGGCTGGGGCAGTATAGAGAGAGAACTTGAGGACACAATTCAAGAGACAGGTGATGCACCATGTTTGCCTTACATTTTGAATGAATGGATGAATAATCTGATACAGTGCAGAGTAGAGGAGGGATGGATTGCAGGTGTGCAGTTTGGAGGAGTCTAGAAGCATGAAGCAACAACCCAGTCTCACAAAAAAACGTGTAATAACTACGTTGGTCCACAACTTGGGAGGTAGTATTTCTACAAAAACGCCTCTGAAATTGTAAGATCCCTATGTTTTTTTTCACCATTCATTCCAATGGCTGGCGTCTAATGTAAGTGATCTTCAATTTCTCCTGGAAAAAAAACATGGCCGAGAGGAGGGGAAGCAGCAGGCGGTTAGAGAAAGGAGAACTCCTCTCCTCTGAGCGGTCATTTTAAAGAGACGTCCATTAATGATGACAGGAGGCACAGCAGCACTCTGTTGGACAGACGTGTTCATGACGACTTATATATATTTACTTTTAATTCATTGAAAATGCGGTATAATGAGACAATAACAGGCTACAGATGTTGACATATATACACACGTAACACAATCAGAGACTGGATAAATCCCCCCCCCTCCTCTCTCTGGTCGCTGAAATGGGGAATTGAAATTACGGGCCAAAAGTTGTACAAGTATTAAAAGTAAGCATAGGACACCAAACCAGCTGAGACCCAGCTGTCCGCCGCATCTACGCACTGTACAACACACACCTACACACTGTACCACACACACACACCTATACACTGTACCGCACACACCTACTGCTCCTGCATAATCAGGCTACAGCCGTTGTGTATTTTATTATGTGAAGCTCTAAATGGTCTTAGAAAAATATCGATTCTTTGTTTGTAGATATCTACTAAACTACAGCANAGCTCATTTGCTTTTAGAGAATATTACACCCGGAAGTAAGTATTCTCTCCGCTTCGCTTGACAAACCCCGTGATAGTCCTCAAGCTCTGTGATTGGATGTTTGAGTTTGCTCAGAGGGTTATGCCGAGCGTCGAACAGCACTTGAAATGGGATGGAACCACGGCAGACTGTCCAAAACTGGATTTGAACGATTTGAATGGGTCAGTTTCTAAAATAATATCCAGGGAATGCATGCAGAGCTGTCATTGGCTGAGATAAGTCCGGCCGTGCGTCACGCCTCCACCGTTCCCGGAAATTCATCCGCGGAGGAGCCGTGGAGGAACCATCAGTGTATCCTCGGTTAGACCTCCTCCAGAGAGCCTCCTCGATGCTCGATCCTCGGTCCTCGGTGTGCATTTAGAGAAATGAGATGTCCTTCAAAATGGCGTGCTGAAATTAATTTCCGGGTCACTACCGGAGGACCGAGGAGTCGAGGAGGGGAAATTTGAGTCTTGAGAAACCTCTAATAAGTCGGACGTAGCTAAGCCCGACTTTAGAGTTAGTTAACACCTACTTTTTACGCCCAGCTGGTGCACTCCACTCCTGGTCACATGACCATGACATGGAAGCTAGTGGGAAAAAACTAAAATTGAAAATAAAAAATGCTGAATTAATTAAAAAGATTAAATTCAAAGAAGTCTGTCCTATTTGTCCAGTGTTGTGACACAATGCTGCAAAAAGTCCTTCAGGAAATGGTTTCTGAAACTCTACATTTAGGTATTATTGTAAATGCAGTCTTGTGTTCATGACTGTTAGAAACGAGCATCATCCACAGTCAAGAGCAGTATGATGTTCTGTCTGGGGTTTTCCAGGCTGTTATATTGGTTGTGCTATATGACTAGTTTGGCCCTTTAGAGTGGTCCTGTTTAATAATGACGTTGATGGTTACAGCTTCCAGTTTAGCAAAATGTCAGTGTCACCTACATATTCAAAAACCACTGAATTGTTCATTCTTAAAACACTCCTTGGAAAGAGTCACAAAACTAAAAAGGAATAATTCTCAGTTATAAAACTGAATTTATTTTTATTTGATAGGATCAATAATGTAAGAACAGCTGACATGACAATTTGTCCTATTAATCGGTTGCACAAGCAGCACATGCTACAATGCAAAGCTGTAGCATGCAGTTACATAAATGTAACTTTTTTTATTTCAAAACAAACACTTTAGAAGTCCCTGACAAAAGCACTGTTTTCACATTTAGCCTTTTAGGATTCCTATGATTAAAAATATGTTTCCCCTAATTCCCATGAAGTATATGTTTTAGAAACCAATGCATCAAATCCACTTGAATGGAGAATAAACACTGAATGACTGGAGACATCATGGCCTTTGAAGTTCCCAATAACTCAATGTTCTCATGAGGAACAGAATATACTGTTCTGTGTTGAAGTACAGAGCTGTACTACACCCAGTTTACTGCCTTTGTAACTGCCCTTAAGTGCGTCAGTGCTGCCTCCCTCTGGTCTACTGAGAGCCAACACATGGTAACAACAGGCCAAATCAGGACAGGATTCAAGGATCAAGTGATCAGTTTGTTTGCTTTTTAATTTTATGAAAGGTTACTCTTTTATCATTATTGAAAAAATATCCTCCAGTCTTAAGACAAAAAACATTTTGCTTTGACCTATAATTTGTGTCCTTGAGTTCAATTACTAAGTAACACATTTCTTACAATTACATCTCCTTATATGAATATGCAATATTTGTTTTCTTTACTGAAAGTTATGTGAGCTGGATGTCGGTTCCTGTGAACTGGAGGTTCAAGTTCCCACATCACATTATGGACTTTGCCTCTTGAACCATGATTCAAACCTAACATTTTCTTACACGTCAAACTGAGATTTAAGAGAAACGTTCCACCTTCAGCAGCTAAATGTAAAACGGGTTCTACACTGCATCTACCAAATGTAGAACACATCTCTAAATTGGACTCAACCTGGTATTTTATATGGATATTATTATTTATTTATTATTCACAGACAGTTGGATTTTCTCAATAGCTTCCACATCATGTGACCTTATCCAACTCAATGCAGAATTGTATTTGTACAATGGACAAGTAAGCACACCTCTTTCTATTGGAGGTTGGTGCTTCTTCTAATTTATATAATTATTATTATTATTAGGAAAATCGTGTTTTATTGAAAACTCATTCATACTATTATGACTATACTGGACAAACAAGACACACCCTGGAACTTATATTGTTTATATAAATGAAAATTGACATTAGGATAAAGCACTAGTGAATTTGAACAACTACAGTACATCACTGAAATGATCTCATGAACCTTGTCTAATGCATTGGACAAGGTTCAACACTGGCTGAACAACATTTGCTTACAGTTAAATGTAAAAAAAACAGTATGCATGATGTTCAGTAAACGACCAGTCAGAATGGAAGAATCCAACATGTTTTTAAACGGAGCAGAAATAGAACTAGTCTCCCACTTCAAGTATCTTGGAGTCATAATGGACTCAAACTTGACTTTTAAGAAACACATTAAGAAAGTATCAAATACTATTAAATTCAACTTGCAAAATGTTAAACAAATTAGACCCTTCTTAACTGTCAATGCTGCAAAGTCATACCTCCACTGTATGATTCTATCCCACATTGAATACTGTTTGACAAACTGGTCGTTTGCTTGTGCCACAAACCTTAAACCGATAGAACAGCTGTACAAGAGAGCTATCCAGGTGTTTGACAGAAAGCCATATTCGTTTTCACCATTGTACCATCCTTGAAAGACACAATTTCTTGAGTTTTGACAATTTTAAGTATTTTAAAAGTATGTGCTTTATTTATAAATGCTTACATCCCTTAGGGGAACTCATCCACAAAAAACACACTGGACGTTGCACTAGGTCAGAAACCAGAGGAGACTGTGAAGTCCACTGTAGACGGA